GGGTTTGTTACACACGGTAATTACCATTATTTGTTTCAGTGCTTCAGCAGCAATCAATCTCATAGTACAATCTTATAGTAACAAGATAAATGATAAACCATTCGGCGTCGATCAAACGTGAATGTGCCATCCATTCGACTTCTTCTGGCTTCGCAAAAGTGAATTAATGCACAGCTGGCCCAGATAATGCGGTGGCCTACCGATATACCAATTCAGTACTACTATGCTCCCAAACAAGTCTGATGCCAATTTCTCGAGCTCGGAATGATGTAAGGCTTGGTGAAGCCGGAACGTGAGCACTACCAAAAACGACTTGTGTATTGTACTTATCTTCTTGTGTATTTAACTACATTGTCGTAGTATACAATTATTAACCAAATGGAATGAAAGCAGGCCGATTTCGATAATACTTATTTGGGACAGGAAGCAGAAGACCGGATCTGTTTCTGAGTACAAAGATAATGATACTCAAAAAGGAAAGGTGTTCGTGATCTCCCCTCTACAACAGGATAGGCACAGCTGGGCTGAAGAAAGCGAGAGTCTCCGAGAGGTTGATTAAGGATCGAGACAGTAGTGGAAAAGAACAACCGGCGGCTTCACACCCGCCTTGTCGAATCCCCGTTCTAACATACATCTGCAAAACCTTGACACAACATAGGCACAATCACTATGTGATTAGCGTTTTTGGAGGCTCTGAACAATATAGACCATTCGAAATTAGTGCCACCGTGCGCATAAGCCAAGACGTAATAAGTCCTTCTCTGCGAAGGACCTAAACGAAAAAAACCGTCTTACGGCTATCGAACAAGAAGAGTTACGTTAGCTAGAGACATGTAGTAATAGGGATTCTACCAATTCCGATCTGAATCTTTCGAAAGTGAATGGATAACAGACGATACGGATGGGCGTTATATTGCTGCAAGAAAACAAACTGTGCTTTTTAATTGCAAGTATACTGGGCTTCTACTTTGCTACATGATGAACAGCTTTTTTAGTACATATATTCACCAAAAGCATTCTCATCTCACGTTTCGTCATGTGAAATATTCTTCAGCATCACCGCGACCTAAACCATCGTTTAAGAAAATAAACGATATGAGACATAAGGGCATAGAGACAAATTTTTCCGCAGATTGCTGAGTATTAGTCAAAGCGAAAAGGGTGATAAAGCAGATGTGACGATGCTTAGTATGTTGGAGCAATGAAGTCGTATGTTTTCTGGCGGTGCTCTCTCCTTTGGATTCAACTCTATGCGGCTACGGAGAATCATATCGCGACGACGACCACTTGTGGACCATCGACTCGACCAATTTGGCTCCGAAGAAGACGAAGACGTCGGAACGCTATTCGAATGTCTTTTTATCAACCATTTGTTTGCATAATAGTCGAAGGAACTAAGAAGTTTGATATAGTCAGCTTCCCATCAGCATTTTTTCCGCGTTTCTTTCCACTACTTTTGAGGTATCGGTTTTAATTCTTCGGAAATGAACGAGAAATCGAAGCCTACGCTATCAAAGCCACATCGTTATTTTGGAGAAAACACGGTGTTTTCTTTCTTTGAGAAGCCTACACGAGGTTGATAAACAATTTTTATTCGGCTAACGTTTCCACGTTTTCGTCTTCATCAGAGCCGATTATCTGAGTCGATGGTTCACGGCTCTTCTTCGTCTCGATGTGGCGTCTTCGCCTTCGTATAGAGTTCTCTTCCTCAGCGTACTATCTCTCGAATGAGACATACGTTATGTTGTTGTTGTTTGGCCTATGTTTATCAACTTCGTATTAGCTTATCAAAGAAAGAATACATGTTGATTAATAATACTGAGGTTAAAGGAAAGTCGATTCTGAAATACGGTGTTTTCTTTGAAAAGTTTGATCTTTATCAATAATACTATTTCACTACATCAGTGATTTATCTCTGACATAGCGCAGAAATGGAAATAATTACAGGAACATGAACATCAAAAAATGTGGAGCCTGGAAGTGTGAGGAGATATACCGAGTGAACTAAGTGTTCTACTACGAGATGTAGACAGGAATTCAGAACAAGACTTAGCGAATAATTGAGCCCCACCTGTTCAGTAAGTCTTCATTTCTTGTTGAATAATAAGAATCACAGTACAAAGTCGTCAATTAGTAATAAAAAAAAATCATCAAATAGCTATCTAAAATAATTGAGTGAAGTAAAAAATGATCTTCAGCATAACATGAAGCGAGAAATCAAATTGGTAGAGTCCGTGATAGTTAGAGATAGTCGTCGTTGTCAGTGGCAGTGATTTCACTAGTAGTGCTTGGCAGAAAACATGTTTGTGGAACCGACAGCGGAGTCTGAAAGAACAACGCAGCGAACGTTGCTGCAATCACATGTCAAGGAGGTTCAGTTTGAGTTGATACAGTCTACATTAGATTCTCAAGAAGAACTAAAACTAACCGACACCTTTGCCCGTAAACCCTATAGAAAAGCAATTTTCAGTGCGCAAACAGAAGAAGCTTGCTTGATTGGTGATATCAATGCGCGTGGATTATACTGTGAAAGAAAACCGAATAGCTATAACTGGGATTCTAGAAAAAATAGCCTGAGTTTTTCACTGAATAGGAGCAAACTTATTGAACCACTTGAGGAATAAAAAGGATAAGAGAAAAGGCTCTCGGTGTTGATCAATCCCTGAAGGATACACCATGCATTCGACTTCATTAGGCACCGTTGGAGGTGACTGAATGCATATCTGGCCTTCACAATGACTCGGAGTGGCCTATCGATGTATCGAGCCAATGCTGCTATCCTCGCAGACAAGTCTGGTACCAATTTGCCGACTCCGGAGGAATGGAAGGTTTGGACCATGGGCGCGTGGATCGATTTCACGTGTGTGTTGCAGGTACCTACGAGCACTGCGCCACACGCGCCCTGTAAGCCCTTTTAATTATCTGGGATGTTTTGGTAAATTCTCCTTTCAAGGTTCTTTTTATTGTTAAGCGATCTGTAAAAGTAATATTCACCGTCAACGTCGCCAGAAACACCCGGAATTTCTAGCGAGGTTTTACCACGCTTAAGTTAGACAAAAAGCAGTGGGATGCGACGATGCGACTTGCACTGCTGGCTCTCTTATCATATAAACTTCTGATCACAAATTATAAATTACAACCCAAAACTTGCCGAAGTTCCCTTATGGTTTGTGATTTTAAATGTTTAGAATTTCTTTAATGATTTTAACATTTGATGCCACTTACCAACTCCTTTGGGGGTCCTGTTGATAAAGCAGAGTGAAGTGATGGTGATCGGGAGTTACTACAATGAAACTACTAAGTATTTATGACACAGACAACTCTGAAGCTTTCTTTTCTAGAATGAATTTCTTAAGCCGAAACCGCACCTCTCCTTGATCGTAACCAGTAACATTGCAGCCTTCACATTAGCCAATCTGAAAGTAGTCATTTCAGATCCTTCCAACTATATGCAAAATCCATTTTTCAATTCTTTTCGACAAATGCATCTTTTCAGCAGACAGTCATCGAATATTTTACGTGAACTGTTCTATTCTGTTCAGTCCTTATAGGAGCAACAGGTATCCTGTATAGGAATCTGAATTATAAGTTCACCGGCTCAATGGTGTGCAACGTTCGGACGTCTAGTGAAAATTTGGCAAACCAATAGATCTTGCCACGCCAGTTATACTTCGATAACAAGAAGTTATTTAGATATTGGAATTGTGCTGATTCATAATGGAGGCTCCGTTGCATGGAAGGGTATAGACAAGTACTGGTGTGTGTTCGTATTCGATAAAATATAGCTCTACTAACAATGCTTCTTCTGAACAAATGTTCAACAAGATGTTGTTAGTGTCGTTTTTCCTTGTGTTTATATTTATCTCAGGCGTAGAAAACGAAAGAGTTCTGTAGGATAAGAAATTTTTGTGAACACAGAAAATTTCACCTCCTTGTCATGCATTGCCAAGGAGTGCTTGGTTTTATTTCTGCTGACAGTACACTATTTACCGCAGTAGAACCTCTCGGTACATTGTGTGAAATCCTAAATTAGAAATGGACACACTCACTAACACTAAGAAGAGACAACGAAGGACTGCACTGGTAGAACTCAGCGAAGCATGCAAAGCCACAAGTGAGACATGAAAACAATGAAGGAAATGAGAAGGTAGTGAGTGGATACAAATCCTCGTGTAAAGGCATCAATTCTAGGCTCATATAACTGTCTGTTTAGGATTATTTCTCTGATTCTTAACGAAATATCAATATTTGTCTAGTCGTCGTAGTAGAAGTCTCAGGGAACGTTAAATCCCTTTGCTATACAAAGCTTAATCATCCATAGCGTGCAACGGCAAAAGTGTCGGGCCCAATTCCATCCTGGACGTGGACAATCCGCTTTGCAGTGTTTAATTTCGACCCAGAATTTTTACTCCAAATTTTCCTTTTCGGAGGGAGTATAGGGATAAGGATGAAGCTATCGGCGTTGATCAATCTCTGAGGGATGCGCTATGCATTCGATTTCATTAAGTATCGTTAGAGGTGATTGAATGGATATCTAGCATTTATAATGATTCACGGTGGCCTACCGATATATCGAGCCAGTGCTGCTATCCTCCCAGACAAGTCTGGTACCAATTTGCCGACCTCGAAGGAATGGAAGGTTTGGTGGGCCATGGGCGTCGGGATCGATTCCATGTGTGTGTCGCAATGGCGCCTTCAACCGCTGTGCCACACGCGCCCTCGGAGAGGGTAGATTTGTTTTTCCGATAATTTTTCAACATATAAAATCGACAAATCACAGCCGAACAGAGAAAGGAACAGCAAAACGAGGTGATCTGCTACTCAAAACGAATCTTTCTTGGAATTTTAGAGATCTAAATCGAAAAAAAGACTCGATAATTAATTACCTTATTCACCGTGGGATTTTCTTAGAAAAGCCTTGATGTAGGTTTTAGTGCTAGGAGCTACACGAGAATGCACTTTTTGTTAAAATAGAATATCAAATGCAAGGAAGAGCCTCTTCACAAAGCTTCTTCAACTGTGACAGAAATAAGCTTCCTTATCGTGGCATTATTTCTAAGAAGTTTTGAGATTGTTGTTATCGACGACGAATTCGCAGATCGGCTCTTCAGCGTATTCGGAGTGGCTGTGACTCGCCAACGGACTATCGCTGTAAGGGTCAGTGCGGACATGAGTGAGCGACGAACTCGAGAGCTTCGTGAGTGGTGTGGGAGATCGAGTGCCGCTTCCTTGCCAACGCCATCATATGCTGCTGACGAAGTTCTCGGTTGATCAGCGCGTACAGCACCGGGTTCGCTGCCGAGTTGAAGCACACCTATAAGCGCACATTTGGCCCGACTAATCTGAGTTTTAAGAAACATAAGGTTACTACTACCTAAGCTAGTAAGAAGAGCAATTTCTCTCTTGAGCAAATTGTTTTTGAGACCAGTTTTATCTCCAGTGATATGCTTCATCTTAATATTCCTTTAAAAAGTTGCTCTCGTCGGCGTATCACTGATAAACGGTCGATTAATTTCATTTTCGTTTTTCCCAGCTTTCGTATCTGCACGAAAAAGAACAGTGAAAAAGTATGATGGTCAAGGCAAAATTCTGGAGATTCAGAGATGGAGATAAAACAATCAAATTGTATAACATTCACGTAGGAAATTTTCAGTTTTTATTGATTCCTATTTCTTCTCGATGCTACTACTCTTTTTCAAGTGAATCTTGAGCTTTACAACCTTCGTATAGGAAAATATGGTTGAGAGGCTTTTTGTCTGCCACAGTCCTATCACATTTATTTAAGATCTTTTAAGTTATTGTGTCACATGTCGTCGTAATTCTACTTGTATTATGATCCGGAGTGGTTCATTAAATTCACCAACTCGGTGCTCCCGTAAGCAATGCCCAATGTGATGAGAGACCATGCAAATAGGACTCCATGAAACGTTAGTGGTTCTGGGTCGTAGCAACATGTCTAAGACGCACCACCGAAACTGTTTCCTACACTCCGTTACGTACTTGTTTGCATACTTGGACGGCCCGTTCTCACTAGTTGTGCGGGCCCAAGCACTACATTCCATTCACTAAATCAAAAAAGTCTCGCCGATCTGGATAATCTTGAAGCACTGCTTGAAGCCACACAATACTGCAGGCTTCACGCTATAGCCATTCAGAAAACGGCAGAGAAGGAGAATAGGATGCTCCAACTAAATGGAAGGGAATTTCTCATTCATAGAAAAGCAATCCTGTCGAGAAGGTAGCGCAGTGGCTTCCTGGAAGTTTTAATTGCCTCAGTGGTCGTTAAGAGGATGGATAGCAGGGCAGTAGTGATGCCGGTCAACACATTCACGGTTCTTGTTCGATGCTACTCCGGGTTCAGCAAGCCCTTCGTCCTTCCGGGGTCGGGAAATCCGTACCGGGCTTCACCGGTAAAAAAAACTCTCTGCAGTTCAATTGGGAACGCTCTACTCCGGCTATCTCAGAGCTGCAGTGAAGATTGATTAGACCTGCACTCTACAATATCCAAGGTAAAATGTATACCCTCAAGCAGAAAGCGAATCCACGCGTAAATGTTAGAAGACCTTCGTTTATGATGGATGCGAGGAAACGAATTGAATGTGAGAAGTGCTGGGATCTGTGCAGTAGATGTGAGGACAAGTTGCATAAAAAACAATTTATCTTTTACTCATATGAAATAAAACAAAAAATAAACTAGAAAAGAAAGAAAATAAGAAGAACCCGCATGGTGTGGTGGCGCGTTAGCTCCCTGAAAGGGTAATAACGCGTTCGGTCCCCACAGCATACACCTGCAGCTCGAAGTTTTGCAAATATCTCAGCATCATGGTGGTTGTATCACACATGATACCTTGCCATTAAAAGTTGTAAAAGGCAGTAAATAAAAAGTTAACGTAGTGATTTTCAAAGAAAAAAAAATAAATTGTTATTATTCGAACTGTTAGAAGAGCGAAGTAAGTGCCGCCCTATGATCGTTTGGGAAAAGCAATTTGCCACAAAAAAGCTTAATAAAATTTCTTTTTGAGATTTCAAAGTAGTGCAGTAAATACAAGTGAAGAAGAGAACAAAATCGAAGACAACAACGGGAGCGGACAACATTTTCCCTCGACGACTTTCCATGAAATCTCCAAATTCACTTTTCAGAACGAAGGAGAATGGCTGTTCGAAGCGAGGCTCGCTCAATATCACGATTCGTGCTAAGGGATGAACACATCTTCGCAAACAGCAACTAGTGTAACGCCTTCATGCATCATTCCTAATTGGGTCTGCCCAATAGCTACCCCGTGGAAAGATTCGAGTCAGTCGCAAGTTGAAGAATAGAACCTCAAGACATGAACGACGAGGACATTTGGGAATGAACCCTTTCCTTGTGTAAATAGCAGATCGAAGAAGACCTAAACGGAACTACGAGATGTCATCGAAGGTCCTGTAAGCTGCAGAAAACACGGTTTTACTCCTAATTAGGAGTTGGTCTCGCTTTTTTATCAGGACAAAAAATTTGTTCAGGAAGAGTAGAAAACTGGAGTTTAATCCAATTTCAACGTATCCAAAACGGCTGAAAGGCACGGAGGAGAAGAAGCTTACTGAGAACCTACAACGGTACAAGTAAAAATGGTATTAAAAGAGGCATTTTGAATACTATTGAGTATGATGGACGACATTCTCATGAACATAAGACGATGCCTCCTTTACAACTCTCTAGTGCTATCGTTTGACACTCGATTCGATCACAACCTTCTCAGTACGATTATGCCACTCACTTCTTAATTAGAAAAGAGTTATTGTTTGTTGGCCAACCAAAAAGAAAAGGAAATGTTTATCTAATGGCTTAAAACTTGTGTCAAATAGGCTTCGGTTCTTCAATCAAGAAACTTGCATTGCGTCTCCATCACTACTGAAGAGTTGATCGAAGAAAGCCGAAGCTTGACCAGCCTCTACAAATGTAGAACGGTTCATAAGATTTTATGTACGGAAGATCTTCACTGGAAAATTCACGTCGGTACGGACAGAAAATGAAAAAGTGCAGTAAGGACCGAATATAAGATTGTCAACTGTAAGCTTAAAGTGGAGAAAATCGATTAAGACTCTACTTTCTGAAGACGTAACTGTAATCACGGGCATGCAGATATACACAGCAGCAAGACCGAATAACACCGCAGTCTTTCTTCATGGTGAAAGTTACGAACTACTCACTGCTCTCAGAACCCACATGATAAATTAGTCTAAAAAACGAACAGCTGACCAGTGGCGGACCGAAGGGACAGTTATCGTGCCCATGACAAGCAACAAACAGCATTTTCGTATCGGGCGCATAATTTACCTGTTTAATGTGTTCTACCAGACCTTCACAAAAGCTACCCCTGCGGTGCACATTAATACCTGTGGCTGAAATTGAAGGCGTTGAACAAATGGGATTTTGAAGCATTGCGCAGTATAACCACATCTAAAGTACATCGATGGCTTACAAGCTTTTTTTGGAATACTATACTAATACTAAGTGCCTGTTGTCCTAACTTTACCAATAACCGGAAAATGTTCGATGGCGTTGAAGCGAATACCATACACCTTCCACCGACCCTGTCCGATAGAGTGACACCACCAAATCCTTTCGCCACCAATTTTCAGAAGATAATGTAGATAATGAAGTCCTTCGGAGCAGACTTTAGCCAGGCTGGTCTCGGAATTCCAGGGAACCACAATGGCTTAACCAGCAAATTTCCGAAAAGTGGTGATTATGCTAGGCCCGCACAACCAGTGAGGACGGGCCGTTTAAGTATCAAGTAAGTGTCAATGAAGTCCTTCAGCTAGGTAGAAAAGACATGCCGAAGACATCCTATATTTTCAAGAACTACCAACGACGATAACGCGACACTAACGAAGCTCAATGAATCGGAAAAACGATAGGATTGCTTAAAAATCGGAGAAGAATAGGGTAGATGAAAACCTCATAGTGTGAGATGGAACATCAAGATTAATAATTCCGTCATAGTCATCGGATTACATGTAAACTTAGTAATTTCAGTGAACGTTAAAAACCACAAGAAGGAGAAGTTGTGCAGGTGGAAACCAGCATGGGTGATATTTGTGTCTTTCTGAGAACCCAATGATACACCCAAAACTGCGAACACCTTATAACTCAACGGTCTTTTCAGGGATCTACTATGTACCTATGGCGCGTGTGGCGCGTGGTCGGAGGCGCCCTGCAACACACACGTGGAATGGATTCCTGCGCCTATGGCCCACCAAGCCTTCCATCCCTCCGGGGTCGGCAAATTGGTACGAGACTTGTTTGGGAGAACAGCAGCAGTGGCTCGATATATCGGTAGGCCACTGCGAGTCATTGTGAAAGCCAGATATGCATTCAATCACCTCCAAACGATGCTTAATAAAGTCAAGTGTATGGCGCATCCCTCAGTGATTGATCAACGCCTAGAGCTCTATCCTTTATTTTTTTTACTATGCAGCTAATATGTAGATTAGTACCTTGTCGCGAATGAAAAAATGTATAACGGCTTTCACATGTAAAATCTAGATGAAGTGTGCAGTTTGAATCTTTGAAGAAATCTGTTGCCTTTGAGATCCAAGGAATACACATCAGATGGAGAACACAGATCGGCTGATAATGCAACGAAAAGAACTAGACGTTTTATTTAATTTTACTTTATTTTATGCGAGGCGTCTTCACGTATATAGTTCGGTTCTCAGCGCTTGTCATATTCGATCCGTTTCCTCGCATCCGTCATTCACGAAGGTCTTTTAACACTTATGCGTGGCTTCGGCTGCTGCTCGAGTGCTTCCATTTCACCTTAAATGTTGTAGAATGTTGATGAAGTTGATTCTCACTGGAGTTCTAGGATGGCGATACTATGGCGTTTCCAATTGGATTGTAGAGAATGATTTTTTACTGGACAGGTCCGGTACCAATTTGCTAACCCCCGGAGAGGCGGGAGTTGGTGAACCTGGAGCGAGATCGAGCCAGAACCGTGCTCGTGGTGAGCAGGATCTCCACCACAGCTCTACCAGCCAAGGAATAGGGTAGGAAGAGTAAACGGGAAAGGGCCACTAGAAGGTGCAATAATTTTCTAGAATGGCAAACTACTATTGCGTACAAAGTTTGCAACAACAATCAAAAACAGTTCTGAGTTCAATGCTTTTCATTCCAAAAAGATACGAAGACATGGCTCGCCGAGAGAAATTTTTCGGTATGAATCAAGTATAGTAGTTCTGTATTTTACTTACATGTTATTCACGGCATTTCTCACAAATTTTAAAAAAGACATCTACATAGAACTTTATAGAGATACTATAAAAGTTTCGAGTTTATTTACCAGTAGGTGAGCCACAAAGAACATTGCTGAAAGAGCTGGAGTCGTCCATGAAACCTAAAGAGTTCACGTCTTGGGTTTCGTATATTTCTGAGACGCTTTCAAACCTGCAGATAGGTTTTCGCATAAACATCTTACGCTTTCTAAATACTGACATGCACGAGATTGAATTGCGACATAATGTTGAGTGTCCAATGAGGAGTCCAACAAAAAAAGTAGAAGAGAATGACAGCTACTATCCGCTTCGTAACCTAAATGAGCGCTTTTGGTCATCAAAATGGCAATACAATGATTTTGAATTGGAATTATTTCACATGCCGGAGGACATCCGGTGACCAGGGGAAATAGTGCTATCAACGGTGTACGTATGCGAAAAAACAGTGCTCGTTCTTAGTATTGTAAGTATTTACTCCAAACAATTTTAATGGTGTAGAGAACTTTTTAGCATAACTTCATCTACACATATAACGAAGGCTCAATGTTTACTTTTTTATTCACTGTTTAATCCAATTTTTTTGGTAGGGTATTATACGAAATCAACCGCAACTATGCTGAGATATTCGCAAAACTTGGACCCCGAGCCGGATCAAAACACGATTTTCTTTCCTGGAAGCTCACGCACTACACACTGCGCCACGGAAGTCTTTGTTCTGCCCTTCTCTCAGCTAGTTTCCTATTTACCAGTGCCATCAGCAATCACCCGTCAACGGGATTGATCCGGGAAGCCCAAATCGCCATTGAGAAAGAAAGAAAAAAAGGAAACTAGCTGAGAGTAACGCAGAGCAAGTGCTCCTGCAAAGGAAATCGTGGTTCAATCTGGGTAGGGGTCGACGTTTTGCGAATATCTCAGGATCGTTGCGCTTGATTTCGCATAAAGAAGTCTTATTCAAAAAACAATCCCTACCTGTTGGACCCTGTGTGAAAACTGGTCTTTTCTATCTTGGTTGTTAACAGTTCGTAGACTTTGGGTGTGTTGTATCTTGTATATTACCTAAAACGCTGAGCTATCTAGATGTTGCTCTCTCCTATACTTCCTTCTTAAAACCCTAATTTACTTGTTAAAGTAATTTTTTGAAATGGAAAGTATTTCATTATTGCGCTTCAATAAAGCGTTTTGTAAAATTTGCAGATTCACACAGTTATTTACTGCATCGTCGGGGATGCAGAGTGTTCATGGGTGCCAAGCTGGTATTCTTGGATTCATTGCCAGAGAGGTCACCTAGATAAGAAAGAGTGTAGTTTACTACAAGCCCAATAAAGTGATAATCCATGCCATAGCAAAGCTGCCTGCTGATGGGCGAACAGCCCATGGATGCGTTCTTGCCAAAAGCAGTGAAACACAGGTGTTGGACCAAAAATGTGGTAGTCTTCATGTCCTTCGCCTTCGTGCGAGCGGAGCCTACACAGCAGCTCTGACTTGCAAAGGTGTTCAATGGAGTCCACTGATGCCGTTCGTGTTATCCAACCAAGTAATAAAGTAGGGTAAGAGAATACCTGAGAATAGAAGAATGTGATGAGGACTGCTGGAAAAGCGAATCCGATCACAAAGGTGTAGAGCGTAAACATGGCATCCGAGTCGAAAATACATTTGGAAATAGTCGTCCCTTGAGGATCTAAGAGAGGAAGTTAAAACGCTAACAATGGATCAAAATGAATAAAAGTAAACCATGCCATTGGACCACCCGTGTGTTGTTTACGAGGGATGAAAGTAAACCAATTCGTTATGAAAAACGCTGAGAAATATTATCACAAAATTGGTCGCGCTCTCGGCATTTGCTTTTCTGGAATTTCTCAAGATCTACTCGTTTACGAAGCTTTCGGTATAAACTGAACACTGTATTAACTGAATAGAATAAGCAGAATATAACAAGTAAACCTGATTGGAACAGCTGCTCGGTGTCCTCATCTAGCGGAATCATACTCATTTTGTTGATGCGGAACACTGTGGACTGAATGAGCACCGGGAGAAGCAGAATGACGGCAAGCAGAGTGCAAATAAACAGCACCAGTAAGGACACAGAGTTACTGCGGATTCTTAAACGGTCGATCGAAAAACGTGATCGAACATCACATTTATGAATATCCTTAGAGGTCAGAGAAAACTGCATTGACATTTAGTTTATTGCGGTAGTAACAACATGGAGGTGATGCTGAAAGTAATGTTGAGAAAACTGCTTTTTTAAGGTTATTACTCTTTTTTAAAGTTCGACATTCGCGTGGGTGGTGTTGTTTTCAAGCCTGTCAGTGTTTTACGAACGTCATTAGCCAGGCGCTCACTTTCTGTAGATGTCCAATAAGATTCGTTGCAACCCAACTGTGGAAAGTACTCTTTCTCTCTCTCCTTCTCTCTCTCTTCCTGCCTCTGACAACACATTCGCGAGCACGCTTAATTTTCGTTGGCTACAGCATGGGGCTATGTGTAGTCTTTTGCCATACCCATCCACTCTAGCGATGCATCGTGTTCGCCCTACTAGATCTAGCTGTAATTCCATACTTTTTGAAACAGTTCCTTTTGTATTCTTTCTTTGATGAGCTTACACGAGGTTGATAATTATATTTATAGTTCCTTTAGTTTGGTTTTTTTTTAGTTCCTTTGGTGTGCGTGATTTAGTGCATGAGAGAAGAAACTCACAAACACAGTCACGGTCTTGTCCGCTGAAAATTGTACAGTAGGATGTATTTCATCGTTTTTATAGGTTTACCATATGCACCCGACGAGCGACCAATTATTGGTAAGAAATATGGCTTATAAGCTTGATCCATGAAAAAAAATCGAAAGCAGTGAAGACATTCCAAAATTAGGATATGCTCCGAAAGAAATTGAGGTTTCATATCGAAGTTACAGTTATATTTCTACGAGGTACTTTACGAACCTCATTGATTTGACAGGACTGCAAACAGCTAAGTAGCGATCCCAGCTCAGAACGGTCATGATGAAGGAGCTGAGCAGTTTACTAATACTCTCACCGAACCAATATAGTTTACACATTGCAGTACCGAACAACCATTCTCCTGAAACTACTCAAAAACATTAAGTAATTAACGGAATCTAAAAGACAAGTGGAAAAATCGGTAACGCATATGTAGTAATCATGAGAGTGAGACAGTGTGAGGCCTACTGAATCACGGTTAGACTATTGTAACAGTGGACTACGGCATGCTGGTGACATCATTACGCATTGTGATCTTGTGAACTTTCCCGATTTCATTCATAATGTAAGCTTTAGTAAACCGGCTTCGATTAGTGATATGGTGCCAAAAGCTAAAGTAGAATATAAGAGCGATAAAGAGAGCGTGCAGCGCAGTGGTTGGAGGTGCCTTGTGACACACATGGGATCGATCCCCGTGCCCAAGACTCTCCAAGCCCTCTATCACTCCGGCGACGGCAAATTAGTACTAGACTTTTCTGAGAGATAAGCAACACTGACTCGATACATCAGTAAGCCACCGCGAGCCATTCGTAAAGGCCAGGTATGCATTCAATCACTTCCAGTAATGTTTAATGAAGCCGAATGCATGTTGTATCCTTTAGGGATAAATCTAGGCCGATAACGTTATCCTTTTATATGAGCAAGCGTTAACTTTTAATGAATTTCTAATCTATGTTTTGGAGTCTTTAATATAGTATCATTAATGGGATGGCCTTCAGTATGGGGAAGGTCCGTGTTCGACTCCGCCCATGGCCTATCATGCCTCCAATCTCTCCGGCATGAGAAATTGGCTCCACTCAAATGTTTACAATCGACTCATCTAGCAGCATTCAACGATATTCAAAAAACCAAAAATGCCCAAGCAATAGCCCAACTCATATGCAAAATTTGGAAGACTTGAAGAGACAACGTTTTCGAGCCTTTGCTTTCCTCAGAGCCGCGTTGGTCCAGGTTGATGTCCCAAAGTTCCAAAGTGCTCCGTATATGACGGACGCAAGAGAACGAATCGAATGCGAAAAGACTCTGGATCTACAGAGTGTGTGACGCCAGGTGGTATACTTGCTTACTTGGTTAGTTGGAAGGTCGGTCTTCTTGGGCTGTGCGGACCCCAGTACGTATGTCATTCGTTCCTTTCTCTCGTAATCGTAGTCTATGGCGGTGGTCTTGTTCAAGCATGGTAGCGCTTGCAAGTCTCATACCGTGATCTGTAAAACAACTGCAGATGCGGGTACAGCTGATTAACTTTGTTTACGAACACGTCCACCCAACGTGTAGGTGGTCGTCAAAGGGGACGTTTGCATTCTCTTGGAGCCCACTCTACTGTTCTTTTCGTCCAACTGTCGTCTGTTCTTTTTGTAACCGGCCCATCTATGTTTCGCTGTCAGTGTACATTCTCCTGGATCTCGAAGATGTGACAGATTTTGAAGGTCAGAGCTTCGCATTACGGCTACATATTGAGAGTGCCGGTTATATTTCAGAAGACGCGCTGTGTGAGTAGTTCGAAGCATTGTTGACGTAGTTAAAGCACCAACCCACGTCTCTGCATCATAACACAGCGCTGGGAGGACCATAGAATCAAAGAGATGAGCGCAGATTTTCGGGTCCTTCAGTTGGTCGGTGGCTTCTTTGAGAGGCCCGAATGCGGCCCAAGCTGCTCTCCTCTTCTATCTATTTCCTCGTTCATGTTGTTTTCCATGTTCATTGATCGCCCAAGGTAAACGTACGAGGTGGTCTCTGCAATTAGAGAGCCATCCAATTCAATTTTTTCGCCTTCGCACCATGGGTTTTTCATGAACTGGGTCTTTTTCCGCTTAAAGCGTAATCCGATATTTTTTCCCGCTGCGTTGAGCTCGTTGATCGCCGTCTCTACATCGCTGGTACTTTTTGAGAGGATGACGATGTCACCGGCAAAACGAAGGTTTGTTAGGAATATTAAATCAATACGTATGCCTCTCTCATTTCAATCGAGTGACTTCACTATCCACTGCAGTGTGGCACTAAACAGCTTTGTCGATATTGTGTTGCCCTGTCGAACTCCTTTTCCTATGGGTATTGTAAGAGGTCGATGGAAAAGCTGCATTTTCGTAGTGGAGTTCCGATAACAGTCGGACAGAGTCCTTGTGTAGGACGGGTCCACTCCTTGTTCGACGAACGCTGATAAGATAGCATTCGTTTCGACACTGTCAAACGCTTTCTCATAGTCGACAAAGGTTAGGACTAGAGACAAGTGGTATTTCCGACGAACTTGGATGACCCTAGAGACGGTTTGGATGTGGTCCATGCAACAAAATCCTTTTCGAAATCCTGCTTGCTCGAATGGTTGCGCCTCATCCAATGTCCTTGAAATGCGCGAGAGGATAATCTTCGTGAAGAGCTTGTAGAATATACTTAACAAGCATATGGGACGATAGTGACGAAAATCCCTTCGGTCTCCTTTCTTAGGTAGGATAACCGGCGCGACGTCATCCACTGGTCTGGGATTTTTCCCTTTTGGAGGTAGGCTGTCATATGGTTTGCAAGAAATGCATATAACTTGTGACTTCCAGCTCTAAAGAAATCAGCAGTGATATTATTGTGTCGTGGAACTGTGCCTCTTTTCATGCTTTCTATCGCTACTCGAACCTCCGATGGAAGAATTTTAGGTGGTTTTTCTCCAGCGGAGATATTAGTGCCCAGGACTGGGATTGTGGAACGGAAAAGGTTGGTGTAGAACGTTTCCGCTATTAATTCCATATCATAGCAGAAAGTTTTGACGTTCCCATCTTCACAACGTTGCTGAGACATTTGCAAAACTCTGGATCGCAGGTGTCTATGGTGGGGAACGAACGCGCTATTATCCTTTCCGGGGAGTAACGCGTTCACCACCACACCATGCGGGGTCCTTTGTTTCGCACGTCTCTCAGCTATTTCTATCGATCTTTTTGCCACAGCAATCACCCGTCAGCGGGGTTGATCTGGGGAGCGCAAATCGGCATAGAACCCAGTTAAGCTGTGGCTGTAGTTGAAATCACAATGTTTTAACGTTTTGTTTTCTGCCTTCTATAATTTTCATGGCAGGTTACTAAGCGAAATACAACCACAACCTGCGGTCCAGAGTTTTGCAAATATCTCAGCAACGTTGTGGTTGTATTTCGCTTAGTAACCTGCCATGAAAATTATAGAAGGCAGAAAACAAAACGTTAAAACGTTCCCATCTTCGTTCATCAGGGCTGACAACGGAACATTGTGATCACACAAGTCCTGACTGCATTTTTTCAGACTGCTTCTTTTCTCTGCTGCTTCCAGTATTTCCTTCTGTTTGTACCGTTGTAGATCCTCCTGCAAAGCTCATCTGCGTCTAGCATTTATTACTAGTGATGTTAAACGTGTTACAGTAGAATCAAGCTTTAGTTTCCTTCTCTTTTCGAGCAACTCCTTAGTAGTGATGGAGATGCGGTTCGATCTTCCTGCTTGAGGAACTGAGGCGGATTCGGCACAGGTTTTCAGTTCTTCGACAAGCAGCCCGTAGTCTTCTGTCGGATCTTCTTTAATCTGCCAGTCACGCTTGGATAGGATTAAGTTCAGAATGTTCTCGTTGTATACAGCTAGACTTTTTCCCTGGAGTCGATGAAGAGAGTTCTTCTCCAGTTCGCGACTGAATCGAACATTCGCGCGAAGAAGGCGGTGATCGGAACCAGTACAAAATGACGGGACTACCGATGTGTCAAATAGGCACCATCTTCTGTTTGTCAGAATATGGTCGATCTCCACATGAGTCATGCCGTTGCGAAACTCTCATGTCCAGCGGCAGTTTTCCTTCTTCTGGAAGAACGAGTTTCGATGGAAGAGACGTGCTGCCGACAGGAGTCCTGCCAGACGGTTCCCATTCTCATTTCTTTTTCCTAATTCAAAATTTCCGATCCTGTATTCGCTTTCGTTGGCCTTTCATATTCTGGCGTTGAAGTCTTCAACAACAAATTCATGACATGCTTTATCACTGCGGATAAATTCCTCCAACTGATAGTAGAACGCATTTAATTTCATTAGCTCCGTCGGTCGGTGAGTAGCAGTTGGTGATAGTGACCTTCTTCTGATGCGACAGTTGAAGACGAACGACGGCTATGCTAGGGAAAAGGATCACGTAAGAGTCGACGAGATGGACAATGGACGGGTGGACGACAAAGCCTACGCCACCGACATTTCGTGACGGGACCTTTTCTCCGCGGATCACAAGAGTCCCGTTGTTTAGTTGGCGTATGTCGGTCTTCTTGATTTCTGTTTCTTGTAATGCGATCACATAAAATTTAATGCGATCTACAGCTACAAGAAGGACGTGAAGATCGGTGTCTGTTGAGAGTGTTCTGGCATTATACGTGCATAGTAAGAAGCAATCTCCATGGCGTGTCGTGCGTGGGTTCGTCAGATCCGGTTCCAATGATGCCCTGCGTAACCCGAAATTTTCTGGCCTCTCACCGGTCGTTTCACCGCCCGACGCCATAGACGGGAACACCCAGTGTGCGGGGTACTGAGAATGGCCTTTTGCTTGTCGTGCAACTTGGTCCTCCCTGGAGTCCTGACGTAACATTGCAAGGGCGTATCCAGGTCTTCACCACGATGTGGATCAGAGGGAGATGTGTTTTCGGCGACGAATCCTTCGCTCGGTCTTCTTACTAGTTGATTCGGAGAGATGTTAAAACTGAAATCAGAAACGAAAGTAAGAATGTAAAAGTAATCGACCGCTCAAGGACGATGTAGAAGCCGAATCCGGGTGGTATGAATAAAAATGAAGGAAAACGTTCATAACATCTTTTGAAATAGCAAAAAGAAAGAAGCGGACCAGTGAAAAATTCTAAGATTTCAATTTTATTCCTTAGAAAGACATAAATTGCTTTAGCACTTCGTCATCAAACTGTTCACCGATCCACAACCCCTGACTATTGCATATGTTGATGACACGGAACTCTCTAGAACGGCTGTTTCGGGTTTCAGGGAGAACTGTTGAAGCTCTTCCCAAGACCGACTTTCTGTTAACCTCGGCATTAATTGATAATTCAGTGCTTTTCTTTAATAGGCCTATTGAAGAAAAATGTTGAAGCACTATTTAACATGGCAGTGAGAAGAGAAGACAGCAGATCGTAAATTCACAAGAGATTCCGTACACAAGCCGGGACACCTTTATTGGCCGATCTAATGGAAGATGGCTCGGACGATATGTGGGAAAATAACAATATCTTAGAAGAGTGCTCGGCCATTTCGATTACTAATGTTAATATAAACACATCACAGATGGCTTCGTGTTATTTGATATCACATCTTATTCGTTTTTTTTCACGGCGAGCAATTTCTTGTCTCACACCAACTATTTCTGATTGTCAATATTAGGGAAAAACTACTGTAGAAAATAGAGGTATTGCCAGAATGAGTAAAACATTACCTTTCACAAGATCCATGACAAGAAACGGAAGATGAAGAATAACAACGAGGTCAACGAAAGATAAACCTGAATAATGCTACCATAGGTCGCTTTGGAAAAGTAAATATTATTCATGCAATAGTTATCAGCTTTTGCACCATTTTTTGGTGCCACTTTAACGTTCTAATTCAGTTATATTTTGACTTCGCAACTAACTATGACGGGAGCGTGTAGCTGACTGGTTAGAGCTGCCCTCGAATAGACTCTGAATCGAACACTGGATCGATCACGTGCCCAAAGATCACCAAGCATTCCAACCCTTTAGAGTGGGAAAACTGATACTAGAGTTGCCTGGGTTTACAGCTGTACTACTTCCTACAATCAATAGCTTTCGCAGATCATTATCTGGCAAAAATATAGTTCGACCAATTCTATTATATATAACACTGCACAGCTACGAGTAATTTTGTGTGGCAGCCACTTGTGCCCCCGTGTTAATTTTTTCCGCACGATGTGTGCATTGGGGAATTTGTTGCTTAAAAAAGTTTCTTGTAAAAGTATTTTTTTTCTGCAAATTGTGAAAGACAGGTTTCCATGTCTGCCCATCTGTTTTGAATAGGCTGTCGATTGAATAGAAAATCCATGGCAAGAGTATGAACTGAAGTCAACGCATATCCTCAGCACGACTGTGATATGCATTGACGCCGACGCACACGGACACTAGTGCGTTCGTGGAGTCGACTATGTGGAGTGTGAACACCGAATCTTTACTCGCTTTTAGCTATCTAGGATAGGAACAGCTCTAGTGAACTGCAAAGATGTTTTACAGAGGTAATGTGCTCCACAATCTCTAAAGAGAACTCGGACACATAGTAAATTTTGTTCAGTTTTGCTAAGGCGGTAAACGATAGCTTCCGAATAACCTTCCCGCTGCACCTTTTAAAAATGGTTTTGTTGCAAAATGCTAAAGCAGTTTAAAGAACATATACAGATAATAAGCAAATGTAATACGGTTGGATAATGTTGTCTGCGGCTGCGGATATTGTCTGGTTTCCATTTTTTGGATGGGAAGGTCTACCTTTTGCGTTCTTCGCCTAATAAAACACATGCTTTTCCCATGTGATCAAGTGGCTAACTGGTCAAAAAGCTTTCTATTCCCAAAGCAATCATCTACACACGACGACGAATTGATGAAATTAGGCTCTTTTCAACATCGAATAAAGGTGAAAGACTCAAACAATTTGATTTGCAACAAGTTTCATCTAAAAATGGCGCTCTCCCATCTGGGAACGCCCTTCCCTATAAAAGTTCTACGAAAGTCGCCGCTTCCAAGTTCTTAAAGAAACGGTCTACAGTTGTCGCTGAAAAACATAAAAATGATAGAGCTCTCGGCTTTGATCAATCCCTGAGGAATGCGCAGTGCATCCATCTTCACCAATCATTGCTAGAGGTTATCAAATATATATATCTGGCTTTTCAAATTACTCGTGGTAGCTTACTGATCTATCGAGCCAGCGCTGCTATCCTCCCAGACAGGTCTGGCACCATTTTGCCGACCCCGGAGTGATGGAAGGCTTGATGAGCGCGGGGTGCGGGATCGAACTCATTTGTAGTGCAGGACACCTCTAACCTTGCGCTTCACGTGCCCAAATGAAAAAGATGTCTACAGAAACTTAAACACTGGAATTATGCCAAATTCATAATAACAGACAAACAAAACGGAAATTCGATGATAAATCTCATGTTCACCAAACATCACCAGATGTGCTATTAAGACTGAAGGAAAACTTAGGAAATTAAAATAAGTGAATCGCTGTCGTCATGTTACCTATAAAACAATTTCTTTTAGAGCTATATTATCCCAAGCACGTTTTTTACGATCGTTTAGCTCTTCTGCAAAGCGAAAACACTGCGTTAGTCATCGCTTAGCGTAATAGTGACGATGATTTTTCAGTTAAACTCGTGTATCATTAACCCAATATATCATCAAATAAATTTCACTCATTCTTCTAACCTCGAAAGAGCCACGGATATGGCAGAGTATTGTATGGCGAATACGGATAGGCCGTTCAAATCTCAGGGTTATTCAGAGCTGTCTAAATTTGGTAGGCTTAAAGTGACGCTCTGTACTTATGATGCACGTTAACAGTCATCTGTGTTTTATTGAGGAGACATTCATTCATGCTAAGAGGATTACATAGGACGTCATCAAACTGGCCGAGACGAGAAGACGTCCACTGAGCACCATGGCGAATTATGCCAAAGACGTATTTGTCTGAAGGTGTTGAAGAAGTTCTATGAAGCAAACAATACTTTCCTCAAGGTCTTCATCGGGAATTTCAATACTAAGTTTGGACCCAAGAAAACATTTGAAGAACATCACATCGGTACACACGGATTAAAACGGAACGAGTACGATGAATGGCTCAGGTTGTCCACCATTCTTGGTTAGTCACAATTCCAGAAGCCCCACTCTTAACGTGAGAGTCTTTCCCAATGGACAGCACAAGAATGTAATAGACCACAAGTTTTGCCACAACCTGTTGTCCCAAAACTTTAAACGGGTTTGGACCATTTCCTCCTTCACGCAAGATACCATTATAAGTGGAAGGAGAGGAAGAAGCAAAATTCAGGAAACGAAATTTCAGTATCTCCGTGAATTGGAATTTATCCAGATCGTTTTTTGGATAGATGCCGTCATTGACAACGTTGGTGAAGAATACGACCACCTTATTCAACATCTCCACGTCAGCGTCATAAAGCCAAAAAAAAAGAAATCGCCAACTTACGCCTAAGCTTATAAAACTGCGGAAAGATGATAAAGGAACAGCTCTAGATGAAAACAGCAACAATAATGGTTAAAGCGTCAAATGTTAAAAGAGGGGTTTGCAAGAACTGTCGAAATAACGTGAATAAAAAAATAAAGCTTTCAGCTCTGATCAATCCCTGAGGGAAGCGCCATGCATTCGACTTCATTAAGTATCGTTGGAGGTGATTGAATGGATATTTGACCTATCGAATGACTCTCGATGGCTTACTGACGTATCAAACTAGTGTTGTTACCCCTTCAGACAACTCTGATACCAATTTCCCGACATCGAAAGGATGAAGAGCTTGGTGAGCCTAGGGCGCGGGAACGATCCCAAGTGTGTTGTAGGACGTCTACTACCACTGCGCCACACGAGCCTCTAGAACGACAATAAATTCATGTCCAGCTGCGAAAACGACAACGAGCATTGGAATGGGATAACACAGGAATGAAAATCGATGGTCCGCAATTACACCATATTCACTTCACTTAAGACATCGTCCTTATAGCATCAAGCACTACCTGGGCGGAACGAATGTTAGCCGACTCTGACAACGTTTGCGGAATGATTAGTTTCGGCTAAATCCCAAGAAGAATACGTTCATAAAGAAGGATTGGCTTAGAATGCATATTCACGCTCAGCGGAGCAAATACGTCCGAATGCTCCAGTTACTTCTATCTACATCGGGAAATTAACGTGATGAACGACTTAGCTACAAAGTTGAACAGGAGGAAGCGAGTGGCTTGAGGAGCTTTCAAGAGCAATGAGGATCTAGTGAAGAAAAAAACAACACCCGACTTTGTGCCAACCTTTTTGACTCAACGGTACTTCCTGGCTTAACGTATGGGTCAGAAAGCTGGTTGCTGCGTAAGCAGGATTAAAGATCACTCAGCGTTATAAAACGCTTAGATAAAATGATGATGCTAGGAATCTTTCGTGTCACGAAAATGAGGGAAGTGATCCGAAGCTCCAATCTACGTCAACAGTCAAAAATCAAAGGTGATGTTCTTATACGCCAAACTGTCGAAGATGAGATGGGCCAGGCGCATAATGCGCCTGACCGACAGCCAATGCACAAGAGCCGAATGGAATGGATTCCTCGAGATGTCAAGAGTGCTGCAGAAAGACCAATGTTGCGATGGTTCACAGAAACCCTAGAAGAAAATTATAGTGCTGAGTGTGGGCAAACGGAACCAACTGGAGCATTTTGCACGCGATGAGAGCAGATGGAGACTATACTGGCGTTCGCTCGTGTCATTTGGTGACCAACTGATG